CTTTTGCAGAGGTCCTCGTTGTTCACGAGATTGGAAAGGCTTTCAGCCACTGTAGTCGTATTCAGGTGTCCAAAAGCAGTTGGAGAAGTCATTGCAACCTATCGACAATGTCATTTTAAATGATATAAAATGAGTGTAAACAGGGGAGCAGTGTGAATTCCGAAAAGAAAATACGGGGACGAAGTAGGGGCATAAAAAGTCACAGTTTTTTCGGACAAGTTTAATAGTAATAGTTTTTGCGATAAAAAAATTAATTCTGGGTAGGGGAGCAGACGATTCCAACAGTGTCAGGCAGGTTCGCTGAAGAGTCAGCGCTCTGCATTCCCGTGGACTCAAAGTTCGGACTGGTTAATCTAAAAGAGGGTTAAGAGAAGACAGGTTAGGAAAACATCCATTTATTTTGGCTTTTTGAAACCTGAGTGCATAAGAATTTGCTCAAAGTACCAGTTCATGCACACTTACGAATATACATATTTCTGGCCTCAAATCTTTCACCGTGAAATGAGATTTGCTCTTTTAAAAATGCCAGGTGTCACTCTTTAGTCATTGTACACGCACTTTATAGAAAATAAGCTCGCTTGCTGCCAACGGATTTCGCGTATCCCACTGGAAGTTACATTGGGTAAATAGTTACTAAGAGTATTCTCATACATTTATATCGCAACCTCAAAGTATTTTTCCAGGTGAAACAAAAACAATTGAAAAATCTATAAGAGAATGTGCTTACGCATGGATTTCCACCAGTCTTCTGGATACCTCGACATTTTATTCAAAAGTGTTTTATGAAAGTCAAAATCCGCCTCTTGTTTCGCCCTGCACACGTACGGCTTTATATCCGTTATCGTTTTCATGACAGTAGCGTTGTCTTTGCAAATGTTCAGCAACTCCTGCCGCTTCTTTTCATAGGTCAGGCTTTAAGGTCAATTTTAGCCAAATTTTGCAACAACTTACCCACTGGAGTGGTGCGTATTTTTGTATGTCTCACCGTACTCGTTTTTGAGAAGTGTCATCCGCTGAAGGAGGATATGGTCGTTCCTCTTGTTAATGCACTCTTGTTCACACTTAATCTAATGAAATGTTATAGTATAAACCGCCAAACAACGTACGGCTTTAATCCTTTGATGTGGAACTTGTCTAGGAATGTTGTGTGTGTCCAACACAGTTGTTTCTGACTGGAGCTTTACAAAAGAGGATTTCGTTTATGACAATACCACTGAGGTTATGTACTATTCACACTCCCAAAACTCTCTTTTCAGAAGTAATTTATCTGATCTTCAGAGTCTGCAGAGTAAAATGTAACTACGGACGAATTTAACAGGTGGTTATCTATCTGGTCTTTTCAATGTCCTAGGAACATTTAAATACACTCGATTCGCTCTAAGCGCATAATTTTTGGACAGCCTACGTTCAGTCATCTACTTAACACGCCAGCTTTTGAAATCCGAAATAAGTCTTGATGTGAACGCTTTTTCGATATAGTAACGTTTTAACACCAAATTACATAAGGAGCACTAATTAACAGTATTACCAGATTTGTTGTCACAGTCTAAATTTCCTGTGAGAAAAATTTTTCGAGGACAAATCAATCAAGCTTCAGTTTATGCATGAGACCACATATTTATGGCAAAGGAGCGCCCACCGATCGCGTCACAAAACGCAGTCGTACTCGGGCTCAATCTAGAGCTCCGCCAGAGCTGGCTATTTCGCTCTCAGTTGTCTTTGTTGGTAATGTCATTCTACCACATACTTATATTCAGGCATGGAATTTTAATGATTACGATATGATGTGATTTAACTACAGGACCTATTCGAAAATTTTTGTAAATAATTTCAAGTAGATAACCCAGCTTTCGAATTTGGTAAGCATCTACGCGCTGCTTTATGGAACTACTCAACTCCATGTACCGATTCCGCAGAATAACTATATAACAGGACTGTTGTCGTCCTAACGGAGTCAAAAAAATATTAGTTTCTTTTTATTATCCTAAGCATACGAGTTGTTGTTTCAGTTCTAGAAAATCCCCTATGAATGTAGCTTTAATACTTTTCTCATGACACTGGAGTTTGGAGAAATTTTCATTTTTAACACTTTACTTCATTCGAAAATCGATCATCTGCAGAATGTTGACAAGTTCAGTGACACACACTCTGACACAGGTGACACCGCGCAAAGCCCGTCTATACGCAAAATGTTGCCAACATGACATACTACCCTCTCCTGTATATATTGTTCAACGCAACCGCATAAAACAAGTTGGCGAACATCCTTTCAAGTTGCGGAGATTTCTTGTAAACTCACGAGCTGTATAAGCCGCATTTACACAGCGCGTTATCAATCCACACAATATGTCACTCTAAAGCGTATGAACAACAGTCACGTGGAACATACTTTAGAAAGGCTTTTATTCGGAAAGAGTTCAACTTAGCGCAAAAACTCTGTGTCCATAGGGTAGATTTTTCACTCTAAATGTTTAAGCAGATCAGACAAAGCAACAAGCGTCTTCCACTCCCCTGCATCTTACAGAAGATAAACATTTCCTGCACTTTCTTCGATGTTCTAGCAGGCGTCTGACATGTCGTAAGGTGTTTGTGCTCCTTTCCTGCCGCGCGCCGTCCCGTTTGTCATCCACTCCCCAACCTTTTCACTCTATTTTACTTCTTAATACCCAGGAACCGCCTTCTGGTCACTTATTCGTTAGGGTCGTATTAGAAATAATCTGTGAATTGGTTTATGATCTTACCGTTTACCCTGATTTTATATTGGCATAGTCTGAAAACGCTATTCTCCCAGTAGCAGGAATCGCGATTTTTATGGCACCATGGTGCGTTCCCACTGCTCGATACACATTCCGGTCACTTCAATGGACCCTTAGCTTTTAATTTTAGGACCACATATATTATATTTTACACACCCAGCTTTCAAACTGTTATTCAAAGTGACCGAACATCATAGCCTCGCGTTTCTAAAAGCCATGCTTTTACTTCTTGATGACTACGTCTTACAAATGAAGTTGCGTATGCTTTATACCCCCGATCTTCTACTTTCCTGACACTTCAATAATTCTCTACATAATTGTAGAATAAAATATATTTTCTTCTTCTGTAGTGTCCCACTAGGTATCTCTTTCCCATCAGCTCAATATCTCTAGGGATTTGACAGAACATATAACCGTATAAGTTACTTCGGAGCTAGCTAGCTGTAATTTTGACTTTTGCCTCGAGAATGAAATCACAGGACTGAGCAATAAAGGACACGGTAGAAACCTCGAAAGGCTGGGCTACGAACGCGCAATTCAGCCAATGTTTCCGTTTTCCTGCTTTTAATGCCAGATTAAGCCAACCACACACAGTAGCGACGCAAAGTGTACAACCTTAGGACTGAAACCTAAGTAACTGATAAGGAATCCTTGAACTGCCATTATTTTTGAGCATTAGGTTAGTAGAAGACACGAACAGCATTCCTCTAAAGAGTCGTTTCAAAGGTAGGTTAAGGAGAAAAGCAGCTACTTTTGGTGAACATTGGCGTTTTCTTATATCTAGACAATTTGTTGTGTCGCAGGCATATGCGAGGAAAGTCTACATCTGGTGGCTTCCGTAATCAGAAAATCCAAGCAAGGCCAGATAAGTAATTTCATGTTCTTATTACCAGATATGTGACTTAAGCAACATATCATACCTTAAGTTATGGTGCAAATTTGTATCATATGATACATATGCAAACTCATATATACATTACAATTACCAGCTCTTTGCGATAAAAAAAACGAAAGCAGGAAAACAAAAGGATTAAAAGATCGAGGGACGTTTAAGGAATATACTGATCACGTTATCTATTCACCTTTGCCTTATAAATTCCGTCATTACGTTTGTTTACTTGAAATTCCACGAGTTTGTTTTGGCACGGTCTTACATTGTGTTGATAACGATGCATACTCCTGCTTTAATGTCAAGAGTGTAACGAAAAAGTTTAGTTTGAAGAGACAAGACTTCGTTCAAGTAATTGTCACGCATGTCGCCGTCCTGAGCCTATTTAAATGGATGACCACTTTCCAATGGTTACAAGGACGACCTAGTCAGTCTATCGATTTTGATTAAGCAGTTCAAGGTAGAATTAGTTGGCCTCCATAGATGTTGCGCAGTGTGACTCGTCTGCCATACCTTAAACAGGCACCAAAATTCAGGTCCACCGCTGGAACGCGAACCATACGTCTTAGGCTGACTACTGTATCCTGTCATAGGACACTCTTCGCTCCTTACATGCTTGGTGGATAAATTTAGTCAACATCTTGAAGCGTAAATATTTGGAATTATCCAAAGTTTCAGATAAATCTGTACTCCTGTAGATTCCGGAATAGCACTTTATCGTCCTGCAACGATTTGCCTTGATAGAAGACGCAAGTCAATTACTGGGTAGTTAACCTGTAATCTATAGCGTCTAAGTGGTGAGTGTACTCAAAGTGCTACAGTTATCGGGTAAAATCCCAACTAGTAAGAGGAATACAGAAATCATCAGCATAAGGGGTTTAATATACACGGGAACCTGAGCCGTTCTCTCGGGAGGCAGTGACCACTGGCTGAGTCAGGGCGGTGTTCAAGTGGCTTATGTTGTGATTGAATGGAGGAGGTGCGTTCAAGCGGCCGCATGGACAACTGCAACTGTGTGAACGCAGGTGTATCCGAGCTAAAGTCAGTTGAGTGGCTTCATGTCAGCGCGTCTACAACGGCTCGCTGCAAGGGGTGAATGATCTTAGGGCAGCGAGGCCTTCGACAGAGACACCCGACGTAGCTGTGATTACTGTCGGTGACAAACTTAGATGTGTGCAGTTCTGTGCATATTCCCTATTCCAATTCTCGTTTCTTATTAAATAACTTGTACGTATTCGTGTGTGACAACGCTAGAAATGTGCGCAACGACAGGTGCCACTGCTGTGTTGGGGTTTAGCTATCAGTCTGCTCTGCTAGGTCAGAAATGACATCGCTGAGCCTAGATCTTCCTAGACAAACAAAAAAATGCTTAGGGTTGTCTTTTAGTTACATATACGCGAATGTAAGCTTATATGTGCAACAATCGATTTCAAATAAACGCAAGAAGCGCGCGGCACGCAAAGAAAGTCATCACCACTTGCACCGATGCAGTGAGGGAACGAATGCGCTAGCGAAGCAATAAGCAATTAAAGACCACGCACGAAAACTCGGATATTCCCCAGAACTAACTGACAAGCTTGACGTGAACATGTGCAGTTTATAGGACGAGTCGAGGAGGAGGAAAAGTGTCTTTTGGTTTTATTTAGTCATTTGAACGATATGGTCGACTCTGTTGTAAATTCTAACGAAGAATGGAATCGTAGATGCGATACAGAAACATTTTGGCTCTATAAAACGATGGTAATGAGCCTCGAAAAACACGGTAAAACCCAGAAAATAGTCAGCTAACTTCATTCGCTTATCAGTGGTTGTTAAAGATTGTTAAAGCTTGTTAAAGGTTGTTGGATTTCAAAGGTACACATCTACTTTCCCTGAAATATACTGATACTGATACTGATCCTCAGAAATCCGAGTTATTTAAATTGTGCCGAAGGTGGAGTCCACTTTAAACGTGGCCATTATTGAGAGAGCTATTTCTTATCAGTTTATGCAGACTAAAAATAAGATAAATTAATAAATTACTTTATTTAACACCCATAAGGGTACTACATGGTAAGTAAAATGTGAGGTACGAAGATGAACCTTGTAATTGGTGCGCATATATCCAAATCAAAGCAGAACAACTCGAAAAGAAGCTTGCTGATTTAATGACGCTCCTGCAACAGAAACTCGATCATCAGAATGTCTCCAATGTTTGAGTTCAAAAAACGAAGAACAAAAAGCAAAAAGGGGCGGAAAAATATCGTCTCGGGGTATATTCAGGCACGGGTTGTAACTCAGTTTCTGCAACCGCGGATGCCGGTAATAGTAGGACAACTAAAACAAAGCTATCGATAAGGGCAGACTCGATTTGCACACAAGAAGACCTAAGCGATGTCACAAAAAAATTACCTAGCGCGGAAGCCAACTCATCTACGCCTCTTGTTGCAAGTGACGCGATTTCCCTTTTGCCAGGAGACAATATAACTAGATCATCCAGTCTACTATTGCCCTCTTGTTCTGGCAACCACCCCGACCGCACGTATTTGAATGCGAAGACAGAAAGCCGTGGGTAGGGGAGATAGCCAAACGCCATAACTGGAGTCTGAAGTAACAACCAGCCCTGACGGGTTGCTCGAGACAGTCAGTCGACAGCAAACGTGTGCGTCCAAGTGACGACTCCGTTAATCTTCCTCGCACACATGCAGAGAATTCACCGGAAAGATAAAGTAGGACGGACAGTGACCGCCAACAGTGTCTGGTTATTCAGGGCTTGTCGGGATCAAATGCAGTCAGACTTGAAAACCGTATCTCGGGGGATCTACCTTCTTTTCATGGTCTACTAAACCAATTACTCCAGGCAGACATGGAAATAAAAGTTTTGAAGGCATTCTTCTCTCAAAATTATGCTGTAGAACGAAGAGCAAATCAAGTTGATCCTCGCCAAAAAACCCGACTGCATAAACAAACACAAACAGGTTTTTTCAACTGGACTTCTCACCAGCGGAGCGGCTGAAACGCCGTGAACTCGTCTCAGAGTTAAAAACGAAACTGGAGGGGGACAAACACAATCTGGCTATCTTCGAGGGGGAAGTAGTTCGGAAAAATATGCCGTTTCAGTGGAACCAGCCAGTACTACTAAGAACGACGGCAGCTACTCAGCTAACACAGACACCTTTGTGAAACCAGCCACTAGGGGCGACAACACAAGTAAGTTCTTAACTTCAAGTGTTCTGACTGAAGCGACGGACATTAATGACACCCATCTAATAACGGAAGAGCCCAGAGAAAATGGCGTCCAAGATAACGCACTAACGATCATAACAGGGAAAAATGCAACCGGAAATGCGGCTGGTGCGAAATCGAGGTGCTTGCATACAAACGACCAAAGTTTCGTATTGAAACTGGACGAGCTAAAACTTTGCCTTGTCGAACTGTCTCCAGATGATTTAGCAGAAACCGAGACCTGGGTGTCCGGAAATGCTAGCGATAGTGTAGTAGCCTTGCCTGATACCAACTTTATCGGAGGGACAGGGAACATCGTCAGGGAGGTGGTATAGTTGTGTATGTAAATGAAGGTCCGACGCTGTCAGAAAACACTACCATGTTTGCGTGCAGCATGGAAGCTATTTGGGTGACCATGAAGGCTACTGGTTCCCCTAGTCTCGATGTCCTCACTGTCTACCGACCACCTAGGACAGACCAAATCGTCGATACTCAACTATTGGAGCAGCTGGAGAAAATTTTCAGTCGATCTAACATCATGATCATGGTCGACTTCAACGGACCAGGAACAAACTGGAACCCCCCCAAGCACCAGGTAAAAAATCGACATTCGCTTACCGTCTGCTGAACAAAACACAAAAGGCGTTCCTCACACAACATTTAATGTTTTCAGCGAGAATACCTGAAGGACAAAGGGCAAACTGCCTGTAACTAGTTTTACGAAAACACCAGGCAACTCTGATCGACTGTACCGTAGCGATGGCGTTTGTGGTTTCTGAACACTATGGCCGGTCTCACCAGCTGTTCCTCAACGCCTCTACTTTTACTATCCCCAACTTCATGAAAGGAATTGACGTCTGATAATCTCCGATACCGTGCAACCTCCCCCTTCTTGACGGTCGATATTCTACCACCGCCGGCAGTTTTTTCTCCTGAGCCCTCCAAACCATAAAAACCACCATCAACTATATTTTTATCCCTTTAGCTCAGGAGTTTTTTTCACTGCCGGTCGGATTTATGTTTAATCGCTTCCCTTGACAATGCCTGTAAACTGGCATTAAATATATAATTTATTTATTTATTTATGAGGTCATCTCCATGCCGCCCCTTGGGCGATATGACCATGTAGTGCTTATGTGGTATTACTCGTTATTCTCCATTTCTCCTACTCTAGACCAAAAAACACGGAATGTTTGGTTGGGCGACTTTAATCAGATTAGGACAGACTTATCCGGTCTCCACTGGAGGTCATTGTTTACGCGTAATGCCAACGATGACTGCGAGTTGTTCAATACTGTTCTTCTGCAGCTCATCAGCAACCCCTACCCAATGACCAGTGTAAGACTGGACAAACGCCCAGGATGGCTAAATGGCAACCTTGAGAAAGAAGTCAACAGGAAGCACAAATTGTGGAGAAAATAATGCGTCACTAGGCAAGTTGAATTTTTCAACACCTAAAAGACACAGAGGAACAAACTGAAGAACCTGATAATAAAGACGCGGCGGGAATTCAAGAAGAACTTGCTACAAAAAGCAACGCAGAACCGAAAATTGCTCTACAGTTACCTCCGACGAAGTACAAGGAACAGACATCAAATCCCCTTAATAAGGACTACTGATTGCGTTGAGATTGATGATAGTAGGGATAGAGCTGCGCATTTTTCATAGTTCTTCCAATCAGACTACACAACCGAGCAAGGTTCCTTCCTCCCTCCACAGAAGAACTGCCGAACCCAAAAATCAATGATATACTCTTCTTAGAAGGCGTTATCTGAAGAAAATTAAAGGCATGGAACGAATTGAAGTCGCCAGGACCAGACGAGATTCCACCCAAGCTTCTCAAGGGACTTACCGGTGAGCGATCTGTGCCTTTTTCCTTGCTCTTTCAAACGTCATTTGACGCTGAAACACTTCATATCGATTAAAAGCTGGTGCATATTACTCCGCTATACGAAGGAGGCAGCAGGGCATCGACGACAAGCTATATATATAATATGGTTATGAGAAAGGTCATAAAGAGTGAACTGATGCATTTTCTGGAAGCCCACGGTCTGCTATCGAACTACCAACATGGGTTCCGGA